TATACCTATATTATACTACCATCCACATATTAGTATACATTTCTTCACATCGGAAGAACTTTAATATTATTTATACGCATTATGTGGGAGAAATTTCTGATATTCAATAATTTAATTAAATCATGTTTTTAACTATAAATTTAACAAAGTAGTACATTAGGTATAAAGTTACATTATCTTAAAGTGCGCTTACGATACTTTATTGGTATATTTAATTCGCATGCTATAATATAACTAATAAATAATAACATATTTGTAATTCTAATGTATTGTCTATCCATATGGTATAAATGTATTATATAGGTGATATAGGCATCTATATAGATTTTATTTATACAAAATCATGACTATAATAATAGGAGGCATTTGGGGGGTCACAGAGAAAATATTGAAAGAGTAAACTCATCATTTTAAATGGGTTGGTAAATTTTGATTTATTCCCCCACCCCTAGTTAGAGTCAAGTGGTGCATATAACAGACTAAAATAATTAATTAACTAGTTTGTCAATGTAAATAAATTGGTTGTTTTTTGTTTACCAATCGCAAGCAAAAATAATATTTTGTTTTAAAGTCTAACCTACCTGATACCTCCTTGTTATTATTTTTATATTTACACAGAATACGATGTACTTATACCAACGCGCTAACACTTAAATGTTTTTATTATTTAAGAAGTAGACACTATAGATTTCATACTAGACCAATAGGTGACACGTGATACATAGTTTAACACTTACTATTTATTAGTAGGATGTTTATGACATGAATATAATTTTTTTTAACCGTTCAAATTATAAAGACATTATGTATGACGCAGAAGCAATAGTTATATTAAATTATATTAATCATATTTTTGTATTTTTAGTCATTTTCAACTAGATAGACTATAAGAGAGTGTTATAGTTTCCCTAATGAAAAACTAAATGGTTTAGTTTTTTATACGAATATACGATGAGGAACATCAACTTTATTTTCAAGGTAGTTAATAATAAACTTGATGTAAACATTTCGACGTGTAGATAACAAAGTACATTTATGTATAGGTATTTACGACTTGATCATACTTTTAGATTGGACGAAAAATCATTTCAAAAACCATCAAAAGATCAATCCATATTGTATAAGTACATGAAGACTAAATAATTCAACCATATTATAGTAATCTAACCATATTTCATAAAACACTGGTAGGACTAAAACGTAATATTAAATTATAAGGAATTATAAATATTTTAAAGAAATATATATCCATTATAGCATTAGGTATGTTTCTTTAAAATAAAATTGAATGTTTATGTTTTTAGATATGGAGTGTTTAAAGCTGTTGTCGATTTCCTTAAAAAAAAAAAAAATAGTGTTTTTAAAGATAAAGCGCGTCATTAAAACTATAGGTTCAGCTTAATGAAACACTCGAAAAAAAATAGAATGTACAGTGGATATTGTCTGTCGCGCGTGACTATAAAGTCCACCATATTCGCAGTACGACACTTTTGAGTGTTCATATTGTACAGCTGTTTTTGTGTGCACAACGCTCGACCTCGTCTATTGTTGCCATGTCAGTAGAAGTATAGACGGTTTGTTTAAGTACGGACAATGGCCAGAGAAAGGGTTTAGGTCGTCGATTTATATAAAAGCGGTTTTTTATAGGCGCTGCACTTTTCGATCTACGAACAAGGGTTACGGACCACTCAACCCATCGACAAGAAAATAACATTTACCATCACGTTGCCGAATTACCAGATAGTTTTCAGTAATAATATAATATGTACCAACATATTCAGTCTTATGTAAAATAAAATGTATAACAATTCATACTATATATATAATATAATATTTATACTACCTATCGCATTAATGGATATAGAAAAAAATTTACTATAATTTATAATTCATGAACACAACCAATTTTGTAGAAATTAAAATTTCATTTCTGATATTTTTATTTTAATAATCATTTTGAGAGTATCTCATTGTAATTTTTCAAAATTGACCGTTATAAAAATTTAATTTTTAAATGTTATACAATACAGTTTTAAATTTAATGGTCTTTGGCTATTTTTAAATAATATGATTATAATCTTTATAATAAAGTACAAGAGTATAAAAAAATCAAAATCTGGTTCAATTCGGTTATGCAACAACTAAATAATAATATATCTCCATAATGCAGTATTGTTTTAAAATATAGCATATTTCAACCTACAAACGATTTGAATCAATTGTTTGATCCAAACAAACTTTTCGAGTAGGCACTTGCGGTGTCTAGGACCTAGGTACTATTTTAAATTGAAAAAAATGATAACTTAGATATTTAAAAAAAAAGAAAAACACACACATCATTGTAAATAACCAATTGGTTCATTCTCGCTTTGCCCAGAATCTAAAATAAGTTGGTTATAAAAATGTAAAAAAAAAAAATAAGTAGATATACCTACAATACATACATATTTTATTGTACATGGATTTACTATCAAACTTCTTGAACTTAGTTCTTTGCTGAAAATGTCAACCGAGAATTTGACAAGTAAAACTTTTCCAAGAATATAATTAGGATGAAGAATAAAAGGATAAAATCTGAATTCAACTTGTTTCCGTGACAATTAAAGCTTTATCCAGTCGTTGTCTCATTAAGTATGTATTAAGTTGATTGGAGTATAGGATCATTTTTATTTGAAATTTACTGTTTTCTAGAACCAGAGTAAAGTGGGTAATCAAGCTTATAATGAAAATTATATTTTCTAAACAAAAATCAATGAAGTATAAATCAAAGGTTTTCAAAATATTAAATTAATAAAATTAATGGAATTTTATGTAATAATAATTTTCCCATTTATTATAATTTTCGGTAATTCGCTCGAAATTGTCAATAGGGAAATGTGATTATTAAGAAAAAATACTAATTATATATTATAAAAAACTAGTATAGCCACCAAAAGCAAAAAGTTAAAATATAAAATAATACCTAGACATATAGGGTATGGCTGTACATAGCACCTAGGTAATGACGTTGATATTAAACTAAGTTATAATATAATAGAGTACACGTACACATATCAAATTTAAGATAGTTCAAAAGTGTTATCAAATTAATTTAAAAATAGTTTATTTTTTATATAACTGTATAAATTTATAATATTATGACATCGTATTTATTAAGAATACATTTTTTTGGAGGTACCTATATAATTCATTTTGTTAATTTGTTTTTTATGAATTTTATAATAATTAATCGGTTAAATATGATATTTAATTTGATTTAACATACTTTTAAAAAAAAATACAAAAATAATTACCGTATCGCGGTACCTAGGAAACATTTTTTCAAAAAATTATTAATTTCACAGTGAAAATATGAATAAATAAATGAATGAATCCGTTTTCTATATATAATATACAATAAAAAGTAACTTGTTATTTTATTGAGAAAAAAGCGTATTAAACTTGAGAATTAATATACATTATATAAGTATGAATAGTATGATAATCAATGCCATACATTTTCAAAACAAAATATTACCACAAATAAGATTGAATAATATCGTAAATAAGTTTTTACAATAATCAATTGTGGTACACTGTGCTTCCTAGCAGTTACCTGTGTTATAATTATTTATCCTTTATTTTACTATTATAATATTATAGGTAATACACACAAATGTTATAATGTACAATGCATATTCATTCGTTTTCTTTGTATTTTACAAATGGAAACTATGGATTTACATATTACTCAAACATAGTACATAGATACAGCTCTAGTGCGTTCACAGCGTATCTCTTAAACAACTGAAGTATTAAACAAGGGTGCACGTAAAATTACGCTTACTGATAATATGTTTCTAAAAAAACACCCTCTCCATCTACTGCTGAAGTTCTACTGATCTGTATCGTGCAGTCGCCGAATGTGTAAACATCGCTGTAGTGCACAAAAGATATAAAAGCCATGACTCATTAAGCTAGTTTCCACTATGTACAAGGTTAATCCTAGTTGAAAAGAAGGCTGAACAACTAATGTAAATATCACTATAAATCAAAAGTTTGAATCTAAAAAAGTTTTTTTATATAAATATATATCTATATTTATTTTTTAACAGGTACGTATAAAAAATTATTTTCGCATTTATAAATTATAACTTCAATTGATTTACTTTCTTTAGTTGGATTAATTTATGCAACTTAAAATATATTTGTAATCGCCTTGTTTTTGGGAATCAAGCTTTTTGACATAATGTCCCGATTATTATTTACTGGGACTTGAGGGGGCTTATCCCCCCAAAAAGTCTGTCAAGCCCCATCCTTTTTTTAGTTTGGTAGGATCGAAGCACCCCCTCACATTGATGTTAATAATGTTAGCCCCCCTGAAATTGTAATGGATTTCCGCCTGTTCCAAAATGTGTTGTTTTAGACGATATCATATTAAATTTTAATTGTTTTTTAACATGGGTTTACTTCTTACTTAATCGATTTTGCTCAGAGCTTTTTATAATCGACCGAATCTTCAATCTTATCAAGTTTTCTATAATAATATAAAACTTTAAACTATACCTATCATTTTATGATATTTTATTAAAATAAGAAAATGTAATTTTTTGTATTATAAAGTTTTCCTGACTTAGTTATCCATAAACTTAGTTGAAAATGTAATATTATCAATTATTTCTATCATAATATTATTACGTATTCCGTACGTGACGAAATTCTAAAATCGGTTTAAACACATCAGCAATTATTTACACAACTTAAATGTGTTTTTGCACACATGCGCAGTAATTCTCATACAAGCGTTTCTTTTTAAGAACAGGGTTGTTTTTTTTCAATTTCCCCAACAAATACCCGAACACCGTTCAAGAACAATAAATCAGTCCAGACCATTAATTTGTTTTAACCTACTTTCTATTTGTAACTTCCTCCGGACTATATAGGAACTCATGTGTTGTGGACGCGACAAGCTTTATAGCTGTACTCGGTTTGTATTATTTTTATTTTAAACGCATAAAATAATGACATTGTCCCCAATTGTCTCGTTCGATTCGGTAAAAAAGAAAAACGTGCTCGAACCGCCAACCACGTCGCCTCGCGGACCACTCCGGTGCAACGTGTATGCAATAGATGTATATAACCTTCGAACTACGCAGCAACATCGTCGCGACGACCGTTCACGCAATTTCTACGGTCAAATTGCGTTTTTGGGGAAAACGCCTTTTCATCTTACTACCACCGCCACCACCGAGACATAATGGCCTAAGAGCGTTATTTCCCCGGGGCGCCCCCGCTGAAAATACCCTCTCGATACAACGTAAACCTTCGTTGTGCCCTCGTATTCGTGTGTGTAAGAAGGTTGACGGCGGGAGAGGAAATACTCACACGTACACACATAAATGTATAAACGTATCTATATCTATAAATGAGACGTGTAAACTATATTATATAGGTACATATATAGGTATATGTTATCAAATATGTACACTATACAAAGATAGATAGAGAGAGAGTGAGAAAGAGTGAGAGACAGAACAGAGACAGAGTGTATGTGTGTGTAGGTGTGCGTGATAGAGAAATGATATATAAGACGAAACGTGGGAGGTGGGCTGGTGCAAAGGATCTCGTGTAGAATAGGTCTTGACCATTGGCCGATTTAATATTGATGGGCAGACAACATACCGGAAACCGTTGGTCGGCGGAGGTATGTGGTGAAGGGTTAGATTAGGATCCCGACAACGGTTGCCTCCACCCCTACTCTCGTCCATCCAGCCTTTCTTGCAGGTTAGTATATTCGCTGCTTCCACCTCCGTTCGAACCCGACCGAGTGTCCTGGTCTCTTGCGGTTCCGCTCTACTCCGAGTCTATTTGCATCCTTGATGACACACCCAACCACGCCAACGGGACGCGAAGGCCAATTCTACTACATATTTAATTATGGCACCTTTGCCTGGGTTACGGCCTTAAATATCCATAGTGTGTGGGCTCATTCGCCCCTTATAATGGCTGTATACCCCCGAACCGTCTTCACCGTCGACGCTTCCACTTCCACCACCCTACTCATCAGCCTCCACCACCACTCCCAACCGGCACGACCACCCTCCGACACCGTGTGTCTTTTACCGCATTTCCAAGTCATCCCTTTGATACTTCGGTAAATTAGTTCTGAAATTGACGTGATAAAGTGGATAATGAACATACTTATAGTAGTATAGTAAATAACTTTACTCTAACTTTTGCATAGACCATTCACACCTTCGTCATGTTTTTGATATAAATTTATTGCAGAGCTTTACTTACGTCCGTAAAATATGTCTATTAAAACAAACCAACGATGATATTATTATAATTAACTGTAACTATATTAATGATTTATTAAAAATTTTAAATAAAGGTGAGTATAAGTAGAAAAATATTGATGCAGATGTTATGAAATGTGTTTAATTATAGTTTAAAATTATTCAAATAAATTTCATTATAAATAATATAAATGGCATTGAGAAAAACCGGTTGGATGTTGACATGTTAAAAACAGAATGAACAAACGAGCATTGCCCATTTGAGCCCAAACAAATTTAATTCGTCCATTCACACCAAAATAAAATATGTATGTTTTTTCTGACAGCGAATTTGTGCCAAATTTACATCTGTAAACATTTTACAATACCGACTTGGTTGAATTCGTATATTTTTAAGATATAAATACGTAAAAATTTAAATTTAAAAAACCCAAAAATATCAATCAAAATCAAAATATGTAGCAATGAAAAATGAAAATTATATTAAATTTTACATAGTAAATAATAATTTATTTTTATTTTAATTTTTAACATTATAATAGTTTCCTTTGTACACTTAGTATACTATTAGTGTATTCGGCGGACTTAGGTCTCCCCGAGAAGATTTCGTGCAAAGCAGCATATATTATGTAAATACAATTAATGTACTGGACATGTCCCGGCTATCTCCATTTAGCCATAGCCATTGTAAAAAGATTGTGAGGTATCATGGAACCTGTGGTATACGCATATATATTAGCGATCGCTGAGGAAGGTATATCACGGACCATGTGAGCCCAAACCAATTTATGTAAATTTTATTAAAAAATAAACGATGCTGCTTGGGGGCCAAGCAATGTGAAAACAGTATGACACCCATGTGGTGGGTTTTCCATTCATCCTGGAAAAAAAAAGGTATTAGTATATTATTACTATTAAAATTTAAACACTTGTAAGTTCAATAAAAAATAAAGTTCAGTCTGATGGATGCCTTAGTTAATAATTTTTATACGTACATATATTTTTACAATTGTCACAATTAAGTAATTAAAAAAAAGCTGGTAAGTAGGTGTCACTCTGCTGTACAGTAGGTTATTACAATATTATTATTATTATTATATTATTATTATTATTATTATTATTATTATTATTATTTTTATTATTATTATTATTATTATAGTGAGTCACTGAAATGGATAACGTTAAATTTGAATTCATAATGATATAATAATGTCATTGTACACGAACAACTATACTGAGTGGATAAGAATGGGCATCTAAGGATATTTTATACTATGTTTATATTATTATTATTATTAATACGGTAGCTGGAGCATTGAATTAATATTATTTGTATATAATAATATACTTTAGAAGTTTCAAGTACCCATGAACAATATTTTTAACTTATAACAAAAACCAGACTAAAATTATACTTCTTTGTTTAAATATATATTTGTGTATATACTTGTACGTCAAAAAACTTAAAAGAAAAACTGTGTTTATATAGTTTTTAGATAGTTTTGTTTCAGTATGAACTACTTACGTGGAACCTTGTTTTAAATTTTTAATCTTATCTATAAAAATTGAACATTTTATAAATTTTCAACTGCAAAATAATTTGTAAATTTTCAAAATGATAAGTTTTGTCAAAATTTGAATTTTAAATGCATATAAAAAAAAATCTTTTAATATTTTTAAACTGATATTGTAACAATATGTGAGGAGCCTTTTATTAAATTTTCAAGCTTTTTAACCCAACGAATAAAATTTTATTGACATTTAAGGAAAATAACTAAAAAAATATCCGTAAACCTCTCAAAACAAGTCAAAATATTTTGAAAATTATAAAAAAAACATATGGTGTAAATTTCAAGTCCCTATGTTTATTCGTTTTTGAACTACAAAATTAAGAAAATCACTCCATGACTATATGATCGAGTCAATATCCAATGTTGGGAATATTTAAACTTCAAACACTCATAAAAACATTAACATCAAATTGAGAGGAACCTCGTACTATATTTTCAATTTTTTTGACTGAGCGAAAAAATGTTTTATCGACCTTAATTTTAGTAAAACTAATAATAATCGAAAATGTCATACGCCTATAAATAGCTCAACATGAGTCAACATATTAAAAAAATTGTATGTTGTATATAAAATGGTATAATATAAACATTCAATAAACATTTCTTGTACCTACGGTATTTTTTTTTTTGAAAGATACACCAAAATCCAAAATCTATTTTTTCAAAAACTAATTTTGAGTTGAACTAACCTGTTTTTGCTTAATTTTTTTTCCCCTTTATTTTTTCAAAAAGGCAGGAAATTTTAAATGTTGACCTCATAGATATACTAACTAGATTAACTTTTCAATAGGAAAAGATACAGTTGAAAAACGGTTATTTCAACTACTTATCGTTATACATAGACAAAAAAAACACACAACATCGTAAAATCAGCACATTTATCTAAGAATCTAAAATAAGATGATTGGCTATATAAATAGGGCCATGTGAGTTAAATATGGTTAAATATGGACTTAGTATCAAAAATCAACAACAACAAAAGGTGGGTAAGTGGATGACGCTCTGCTGTACAGTAGGTTTCAAGTTGGTCACTATTATAATGGATGGTATTAAATTTGAATTCAATAATATAATATAAAAAACGATTCTGAGCGAGACGGTTTGTCAGTGTGGATATTTTATATTATATTTATACCTATTGTTTTTACTTATTATTAATACGGTAGCCGGTAGGTTGAATTAATATTATAAAGTTACAAAAAAATAACTAAAATCGTTATTCTTGGTTATTTAATATGTCATTTTCTCCAAATTTGAACATAATATAACTATAGAAAATAACCGTAATTTATATTTTTGAGATTTTTTGGTTACAGAATACCAATTATAGAAATTGATAAAATAAACATAATATGATATAAATCTCAATTGTTTACGGACTACGGTTATTCGTTTTTTAATTAGAACAAAATAACAAAATGGCTAGGTATATGAGTAATCGATTGAATATATATCTTTTAAGAATATGAACTTCAAAGTTCAAACGCCTTCAAACGCCTCCAAACGCAACAAATAAAATTGTATTTAAAATAAATTGGAAACTGAAAATGTCAGTCAACAGTTTAAAATAGATCAAAATATTTGAAAATTGTACAGTGTATATAACATAGGCGCAAATAGGGGGGGGGGCTTAGGGGGTATTAGCACCCCCAATTTTAAAATTAGCACCATCTAATAAATATGTGTTTATGTATCAAAACTTCTCTTTACAAAAAAAAAAAACCAAAAACAGTTTATCATCAGACATGAGGGTATCGGAGTATAATGAATGAAACAATGAACTCGACAATTGTAATTTTATCGAATTAAAATCTATTTAGAATATAAATCATTATTTTCCAATGTTTCTACTAAGCCCGGTCGTTGTGGTCGGTTATATTATTATCAGTGTTATCACGTTCAGCAGCGACTCAGCTCTATGACAATTTATAGTATCACGAGTATTTACTAATAGAAACATTCCCGTGCCCACATCTAATTCGGACAAAAACATAATTACGATATACGAATTACTTGTCAGTTGGTGTTCACTGGAGTTCCAAGTTTCCGACAGCCTGTGTGATTGTGTATGCTGAATTATATAATATAGTAGGTACAGATATAACTGACTTTTGGAATAACTTTTGTTCTAATCAATATTTTTATGTTTTTTTATAATTTTAACAATTTTTGTCACACATTTAAGTAGCTTCATTTTTTTTTTTTTTTTGTCAAGTCTGTCTGTTACACTCCTTGTACACTAATATTTATTTGTCATATTTTTTGAATAAAATATAAATAATTTGTTTTAAATTTATAATAAATAAAAATTTACTATTGTATTAATTTTTATAAAATGTACCTAATGCACTATAACTATTCAATGTTAAATTGTCATAAAACCATTTT